CGAAGTTTTATGTGGAAAGAAATTATTTTTATTGGAATACTTGTAAAAATGTAAAGAAATACACAATACCATACACTTCCCTTACATTGCTTGTTTAAATTTAAGGAAAAACCCCAAAGGCACTGAAAACTGTTGACACGCTAACTTTAGCATGCCCCAAAAACAGTGGATGATATCCCATGGTTGTCTACTCCAGTGGACTCCAAACTTTTTTAATCGTGCACCCCTATCAGTAAAAAATTTTTGAGCACACCCCCCCAATATATATTTATATTTGTGGACCCCTATCAGTAAAAAAAAAAGTTGAGCATGCACCCCCAATATATGTATATTTATATAAATATAAATAGAAGTTCTAATATTCTCTTCCCACACCCCAATGGATCATCTTGCGCACCCCACTTTGGAGACTACTGGTCTATTAATCTACTTCAACAGAGTTGAACTCTCTTCCACTGAGGTCATTGCGGCACCTCCTGTTTCACTGTCACTATCTGTAGAATCACTTGCACTACTTATTAATGCCATTTCAGAATCAGATTGAGGCAAATCTGATTCAGAACTACTTGAACCACATTCTCTTTTGCTAAAGGATGGTTTTACCAACGAATCTATGGGCAAGGGCAACTTATCATCACACTGCATCTTCTTCACTAACTGTGCTTCTGACTGGTTCTCCAGAAGCAAGAGATTTTGAGAAATAGAAAGTCTATTCCTCTTTTTTGTCTTGATTGAGCTGAAAGCTTTCCAGTTCCGTTCACAGGAAGCTGCTGTTGGTGGGATGATTAGGATCCTTAGAGAAATCCTGGACAACAGTCGGGTGTTACAGTATCCCTTCCACCATGGGAGAGGAGACACATTCTCTGCTGCCCACCAAATGATGTCTTTGCTCCAAAGTTTTTCTTTTGTGTGGTACTTGGCAGTGTCTGTCATCACAGCTATTTTGCTGATGTTGGAGACATTCTTAGCTACTTCTACAATTGTACTGAGAGCAGTAGATAATTCATTTTATGATAAATATTGTCCTCTGTGTTGAGGATCCCAAAGGTTTGCTGCCATATTAAATGGATGAGAGCAAAACTCAGATCTCTTAGTAAACATTTGTTTTACTTCTTTTTTGGATACAGGTGAAAAAGGCAAAAGCTCAATTAGATTTCCATTCAGTTGTCTGAATATCTCTGGAATATTTCAAAGGCTTGGTGTATCTCCTTCAAGTTTCTTGATAGCCAGTGAAACTGGTAGTAGCAAATTGAATGTTTCTTGAACTCTAATCCAGAATACATGGTTGCTGAGAATCTGCTTCCGAATGTTCAAAGGAATAATCTGGGATACTGTGTCATCTATTGAAGCACACTGCAAACAGTTCTTTGTACATAGCAAACTATGTAAACACTTTGTAGCCAAGACCCATTTAGTTTCTCCTGGCAATAAAAGTGCACCTTCCTTCCCCTGCTTCTCTTTCTGTAATTTTTTCAAAGTCTGATTAGCAACATGATGATTGTTGAGTACCTTCACAACTGCTTTGCAGTTTGCCAATATTGTCTTCACTCTATTCACACTTACTGTGCCCTTTGCCAGAAGATTCAACCCATGAGCAAGACAGCCAAATACTATTAAATGAGGATACTTTGCCTTTTTTGAAAGAATTATTAAGGATCACATTTGTGGGAGTCCAGCCAGAAAAATAATCCTGAAGGGCAACCAGCATGGATTCATAGCAAGTAGATCCCACCTGACTAACCTCATTTCTTTTTATGACCAGGTCACAAAATGCTTAGACACA